GCTGCTAATTGCAGCCCAACTCAGCTCCTCGCTGCCACAAAAGCAGTAGCAATGTCTGTATTGTGCATCAGCACAGGGATTTTGGTTCTCATGGAAGCAGCTGGCCCGGCAGCACCCCCAAAATCCATCTGCCCCATCAAAGAGGGAAGGTTGGTTGTTCTCCACAAGCAAACCGCTCACGGTTGCTCCCCACCAGTTAATCTGCAGCTTCATCTCACCACCAGCCCGACCAAACCACCCAATTTTGGCCGTGGCCAACGGGGAGCAGCCTCAGAGAGGGACTGTTTGTATGGAACGGTGCCAGGAGCTGCTTTAACGAGCTGTGCACGCTTTCCTGCCCCAAGGCTTGTAACACCGAGCCTCTGCATTTGTGTCTCATCTTCTTGCCACTCCTGGCACTCGAGATTATTTCCAAGGAGCACCATGCAGCAGGTTCCAGGGCTTATTTACTGATTAAATCAGGCGTTTGGGTCGAGCCAGGAAGGGTCTGTCCATGTTACCCTGCTGTAACAGGGTGGCTCCTCTGCAGCAGACACATTCAAGCTGTGGGATGCCAGCAGGCTGCACCTGGCACTCAGAGAGCAAACAGAACAAGCAGGGAAACAGGGATGCTGCACGTCCAGCACGTGACTTTCATTACAGAATCACCCAACAGGAACCTCAACAGAGCTTTGGGTCGTTCATCTACTGACAAAAGTAACAGCCTGCCTTCCTTAAATACACCTGAGAGACACAGCAGCTCTTCTCCTGCTTAAGGGCTTTCTGTGATCAATAATGTTGAAAACCTGACAAGATTTCAGCAGAAAAGACCTTCATTGTTCATTAAATAACTGCAATATTGACTATTTGTTAACACAGCTGAAGACTGTATTTGCTACACCACTAACTAAGGGAAAATTCAAGCTTCCACATCAATCATGCATCTCTGAAATGGACAAGCAAAAAAAAAAACCTCAGTTTGTCTTCAGCATCCCAAAATGGACCACAGCTTTCCAGGGCTTTCAGTTCTAAATGAAAGGCTGACTGCAGAAAATTCCCTTGTAAATGTTTATTATTCTAATTTTAACCTTGGGATGCTTTTAGGGCCAGCAAAAAGCGAGACCAAAACCCAAGAGACCAAATAATCCACACAGGGATTTTCTCCTGCCTGTGCTAGTTCAAAAGTCATTCTGAGATGCAGAAGTTGTTTTTTTTAATTTATTTTTAAATCACTGTTTAACCTCTTGTACTGGAAGCATTAAATTACACCACAGTGTCGGAGCAGATTGTGCAAGAAGTCTCTTAGAGAGGCAGGGACATGGATTCCCATGGGAAACGACACTTCCCAATGCCAGTATTTCACCAGTATCCACAGTGGGGAGCAGAAAACCCCCTTTTCCTTTGCCTTTCCACGGTGAGGGGTGTGAGACTCCAGGAACACAGAAATACCTCCCAGCAATACACTCTCTTGTCCAAGCTCTTCTTCAGCCTCACACGAGCTCCCCTCAGTTCCTTCCCAGAAAGGTAATCCCTGAGATGCAACCAGACACCCCTGGGGTGTGTTTTGGAGAGTTACCAAGCCAAGAGGAAAAAAACCAAAACAAAACAAACAACAACCAAACAGCAAAAGCCAAAAGTGGCCAGTCCCTGGGGCGAGCAGCTGCCTGCAGGGATAAACTTCACTCGCAGACAGCACCAGGCTGGTGCCAAAAGGCTTTCCCCAGTAATTCTGACCTTTGTTCCTTGGCCAGCCTCATCCAGTGGAGCAGCAGCGTGCCCAGGTCTCAGCTCTGGCACTCTTGGCTGCACTAGAGCCTGTAGCCTTCTTCCAAATTCTCATCAGTCCAAGTCACACGGGCAGGATTTACCTTCCCTCTCCACCCTACCAGCTCACCACGTGCTGATGGGGCTCCCAGAAGCTGAACAATCCACCTTTCTCCACCTTCTGTGGTCAACAGGCTCTTCAGTTTGACCCAGAGATGATGTGCTGCTTGTTTTGTTCTACCTGCTATGTGCTCAGGCATTTCCTTGTGAAATAAAAGCTGAATTCCCCAGTAACCTTGTCTTCCCTCTGTGTCAGAGCTGTAGTTTGGTTACTGAAGCCACAGTTGGGTTTGTTTTGAGGGTTCCCCCCCCTTCCTTTTTTTTTTTCCTAATCCATAAGCCTACATATCCAAAAATAGTCAGAGCAGACCAAGATCTTCCAACACAACAAAAAAAACTTGAGCACATCATCGATACAAAAAGCACTTTCTCACACAGAAATTCAAAACCTCAACAGCACCATAATAAAATGCAATAAAAAAACCTTTAAAGGAGCCCAGGTCAACAGACACAATGCCAGTTAAGTGACCTGTATGACAAGCTACACTTGTTTGGGAGGGAGGGAAGAAAGGTGCCACCTGCTCACAACATTTCAGATTCAGGCCCTCACTTCAACTCCAGATCCCTGGATCTGAGTTTGTCACACACCACACCCCTCCTGTGCCCAACTCCAGCTTTTCTATCCCCTCCACCTGCAGTTGCCTCAGGTTCACCACCTCTAAGACTTTTGAGCAGCCTTGTGGGAGTATTTAGGGTAAGATCATCTAAAGGAAATAGCTTATTGTTAACCATTCCCAGGCCAGGAATCAGCATTTTAGCAGGTAAAAGCCACTGCAGGCAGCTTATGAAGCAGAGCTGATGATGTGAGCAGGAGGGAATGCTGGAGGTGAAAGGCACAGCCACTTAGGCTTCCACAGGGAAAGAGAAGAAACCCGACTTGCGAGGCAGCTCATAGTTCTTAAATCTTATTTAGATGACAGTATAAATCCAATTATATACTTATTAAATATTCCACACTTACTTACAATGATTACAAAGGCAAAACACCGGGTTACAGGGTAACCATTGTCTGATATCAACCACATGGCCATCTAAATCCCAGAATCATGGGATGGCTTGGGTTGGAAGGGACCTTCAGGAACACCTTGTTCCAACCCCCTGCCATGGAAGCAGTCAGTAACTAGAAGATGGGCCAAGGCCTTTTTCTAAGCAATTTATTCTTAAAATCATCATAAACTATGAAGAAAATGCAGGGAAATAATTCAAGTACGATTCTTGCTGATTCCTGCTGCAAACAGGTCTTTTTCCCCCCACCCTGCAGTTCCAGAGGAGGGATTTTTTTTCCGCCACCACTTTCAGCTGCCACAAGCAGGCTATTGTTTGGATTTAGCCACGCAGCAGCACTCCTGATGCAAGCCCACAGCTCGGGCAGCACCACGGACCTAAAATGGAACAGGAGGGAATTCAGTCAGAGAATTCAGAACAGAGATTCCCACTAAATACCTCTCTGGAGCAGCACAAGATCCGTTCGGCACAGCCAGGGGAGCGCATCCAACTTCAGAGAAGTCCTGAAGCACTTCCCAACCTCCAGGTGCCCCGAGGGATGTGGTGTATCAGGTGACAGCTCAGCAGCAAGTTCAGAGCAAACATCCTGCACATCAACTGCCCCAAATCCAGGAAGGTCGGAACCGCTCAGGACGTCCCCGCGTCTCCCCCTCACATGAACAGCTCCAGTGCATCCTCCCTCCTTCACAAAGTCATCCCAGGCCAGCTGGGATGGACCCCAAAACAGGTCCTCTCTCTGCACTGGTACCTTAATTCTGACAACTCCTGCTCCATCCCTCGGCAAAGGGAACCGAAATGCCGTGAGCTCACTTGTAGCTGTGGCAACGGCGCATGCAAATCCTGCCACGCTGCAAAACTTCGCTCTCCTCCAGCGCACGGGAGCGACGTGTGAGCAAAACCACCCTTTTTTTTTTTTTTTAATTCCTTTCTTCCCCTTCCTCCAAGGAGAAATTGGGCTTCTGAAAGCTCTCCCCCTCTAAAGCAAAAACCCAGCTGGCAGGGCAAAAGTTAAGCCAGGCACATGTTGCTTTAGTTGGGCTTTAAAGTGCAGAGAAAACGGAGGCAGAGGAGTTCGGGAACAGGGTGCAAGAGGTTCAAGGTCTCCCACGTGCAGCTGCAAGGGCTCTACTCGCTGTTTACACCTGGTGAGGAGCAACTCTATTTGTAGCCTTGAGTTTTGGGCTGACCAAGTCGTGCCCCTGCTGTTTTGATACGATGAAGTTGCAGTGCATGGACAGGCACAGAAGAGAAAATGGATTTAATTCATTTTAAATTAATTCTTTCCTGTGAGGGTGGTGAGGCACTGGCACTGAGAGGCTGTGGGTGCCTCAAGGCCAGGCTGGATGGGGCTTGGAGCAACCTGGTCCAGTGGAAGGTGTCCCTGCCCATGGCAGGGGGGTGGAACTGGATGAGCTTTAAGGTTCCTTCCAACCCCAGCCATTTTTGATTTCGTGAGGAAGTGACCCGTTTTTCACAAAGCAATCAGAATTCTAAAGAATCAGCACATCTGAATGCAACACCCTGAGCTTTTCTCAGGAAATAAACTGGGTATTTCCAATGGAGTTGCAGGCACTAACTGCATATAACCCTCAGGGGTTAAAAACAACCAGTGGGGGTGGTGAAGAAACAGAGGAAAAATAATAATAATTAAAAAAAAGCAAGCCTCACCTAACAGGTTTCCAGCAGCAAAGCCCGTGTGAACTTCAAGACCTGAATTGCAAATTGAGCTTTGGTGAGAATATTAACTCTGCTTGCAGGGTATCTCTCTGTGTGGTTTGCAAAAACTTCTAAGACAATATCCTGAACGGCAAACAAAGGGTAAAAAAACACACCACCGATGCTTCCTGCATGTTGAGAAGTTTGGGTGGGGAGCTTCGAGATTCTGGCTCTGGTGGGGGTTGGTTTTGGTTTGGAGTGGGGGTTGTTTTGCTGTGCTTTGTTGGGCTGTTTGTTTGGTTTTGTTTTGTTTTAAAGGGCAGTTTGGGTTACCAAGCCCAAATCACTTCCAAGGCTGTAAACAGTGCAACCTAACCTCCACCTATTTAAGAGCAAAGCAAATCTAATCCCACGGGCAGGTTATTCTATCTGGGAGCAAAGCAAAGGAGCTAAAAACGAAGGAAAGGGAGAGTTACCATGGGATACCAGGATGCGTCACTCCTCTTGGCTCTCTCGGCGCCACGTGACATGTGAGCCGTGAGCGAAGAACTCGGCAGATGGGATAGGAATGAAAAAAAACAAAAATGTAAAAAGGTCTCTAGATTATAGCAAAGTTTAGGCTTTGAAATCTACTGCTGGTGGCTACAGAAATAGAGGCAAAAATATTTATCTACAAACCAAGCTATCTGTCTATAAATCTATTGCCACTGTGCAGTAAATACGCGCTTCTCCTTCCAATAATCGTCAGCATCCACGCTTTCCTAACAGTTCCTAATGGTAAATTCAGTCCAAGCACATTCAGAAATACTGCCCTTGCCATCTCCAGCGAGAACTATCACTTGCCTTTCACAGGAGGCAAAGCAGGTCAGTAGTTTGTGATTTGCTCATAAATACAGAAGCAGCCACTTGACAGCAACACACATGAGCAGTCCAGAGTTCAAGAGAGATCAGAAGAGGGATAAATCACTTGGAATTTACTCTCAAAGTTACCACAAAGGTCACCAAGTCCACGCCTCGGGATGGAGCCCATTGATCCAAGACTCTTTTGATTCCCAAGGTATCACTGTCGAGCAGCTGTGACACCCCCACACACTCTCACCTACACTTGGATTTTCACCCCACTCAGTCCAGTATAAATTCAACACCTCCTGCTCTGAGTCCCCACAAAACCATGGAGTGAGTGGTTCAATGTTTGAGGGCTCCCCCCTCTCCTTTTTACAGCTGCCAGTTTCTTTCTAGCACACCAAAACAGCTCTGATTCAAAGGACATTATTCCATCTCCATCCTCCTCCACCTCCCAAAGCCTCCTAACACCCACGTGCTGCTGAGCATCAACATCTCCAGGGAAATTCGCTCCTTTCACATGCCAGCCAAGCAAACCACCTCCCTGTAGTAAAGAGTGACGTAGAGCACAAGAAACCTTCACCCTCCCCGGCTGAGGGTGCGATCCCAGAGTTCCAGCTCTACCCAAACATTACGTCACGCTGAAAATCGAGTTTCCAGGGTAATGCTGGAGCCCATCTGTCTCCAAGGCACCACAGTAACCTGATCATCACCCCAAGGCACCAGCTGGCACGCCGCCACTCCAACCCACCCGGCTCCCAGCACGCTCCTGGGAGCTCCAGGCTGCAAAACTTTGGTCAAGGAACACAGGGAGTCAGCCAGGACACCTGCTGCAATCATCTGCTCCTCAACACCAGCTTGTTACCACCTGAGTCATTTGTCATTACATGGGAGCCGAGAAATCCTGCCTTTCCTTTGCAGCCCCTGGGTTACACCAGTGCGTGACGTGGCATTTGAAAACAGCCCCGTGTGTTTCTGACCTGCTTCCAAAAGGAAGCTCCAGGTTTCTGCAGACACATCAACACAGAGGCACCACCTTCTTCAAAGGCACGCACAGGATCCTGTACCTGGGGAAGAACAACCCCAGGCACCAGCAGGAGGTGACCTGATGGAGAGCAGCTCTGGGAGAAGGATCTGGAGGTGCTGGTGGGCAACCAGCTGTGCCTGCCCAGCCGCGTGTCCTGGGGACAGGGAGGGCAATGGGATCCTGGGGGCACCAGGGAGAGCATTGGAGCAGGGCAGGGAGGGGATCCTGCCCCTCTGGCCAGCCCTGGGCAGGCACATCTGCAGGGCTGGCCCAGCTCTGGCTCCTCAGCACAGCAGGGACAGGGAGCTCCTGGAAGGTGACTCCCCTCCAGAGATGCCCAAGGGCTGGAGCATCTCTGGGAGCAGCAAAGGCTGAGGGAGCTGGGGCTGTTCAGCCTCCAGAGCACCCCCTGAGAGGGGCCCTCAGCCATGGCTGGCAGGGGCTGCAGGGAGGGGGCAGAGGATGGCCCAGGCTCTGCTCAGGGGGCCCAGCAATGGCACAAGAGCAATGGGCAGGAACTGATGCCCAGGGAGCTCCACCTGCACAGGAGGAAGAACTTCTTGGCTGGGCAGGGACCCAGCCCTGAGCAGAGACCAGAGAGGGTGTGGAGTCTCCTCACTGGAGATATTCCGGAGAGCTGTCTGGACACACTCCTGTGCCGTGTGCTCTGGGCTGGCCCTGTTGGAGCAGGAAGGTGGGAGCAGATCCCCACCGTGGTCTCTTCCAGCCAGACCCAGTCTGGAATTCTTCAAAACATTGCTTTAATAACTGTTCCCAGAGCCAGGAGTCTTTAACAGCCATGGCTGGGTTTTATCCAGCCTCCTTTGAACCTCTAACCTTCCAGCAACATTCCTGCAGCAGGGAATACCACAGAGTAACCACACCACCAGAACAAAAACGTCACCACAAGAACAACACTGCCAAAAGCAAAACTTTCCCTTACTATAAGCTCATGCTTCCTTGTTTTTTTCCATTGAGAAAGGCCTGGGTACAGTCATCCTCTCTGGGAGATGCAAAGCTCACACTCTCATAACATTGCTGTTCTCGCTCCCTCCCTTCACAATCATTTCTTCTCCGCACTAAAGAGTCAAAGTTGATTTATCTGCTTTTATACAACAGGTGCTCTCTGTGCCTTTGATCACCTTCAGCATCCTGTGCTGAACCTCTCTCTTTTTGGAGATGGAGGATTCAAAACACGTGGAATCACGCAGAAAAAGGTGGGGGGGGGTTTAAATTATTTTCTTTTTTACAGCAGGTTGTTCTGTTTTCTCCTACTTCACTAATAATATTTGTTCATTCAGCACTTTGACCTTGCAGGCATTTTCAGTGTAAGGATCTCCAAGTTCAGTAAAAAAAGCCTCCCAAGAGCAGAACAAAACCCCAAACTAGTAATGTTTTTGCATCCTGCCAGTGTTGTGGAAACAAGCATTAGGCTTCAGAGACAGGAAAGAGCCTGCAAAGTGCAGTAACCTCGACATTTCTCAGTTCCAAAACTTCATTTCCACCAGAGTAGAAATTCCACTCCAGAAAAAGGAATTAACCACAACCCTGTCCGTGCATTTGCCTTCCTCCACACACCTCAAGCTGTTTGTGCACTGTAAATAATCAAATAAATATATAAACACGCACTTTGGTCACCTCTATTTATTAATTCCTGACACAGTACCAACAATATGGAAGTGCAGAGAAACAAAACACTGCCCTTTTTCTTCTTCTTTTTTTAAGTAACTAACTGTTGCTTAACAGCTTCACTGACCTTGTAGCTCACAGGGGTTCTGAGCAGAAAGTTCCCCTTGCTTTATCAGAGAAACAGCAGCTGCAACAGTGACTTGCCTCATGTTCTTTGTAAACAGCTTTTAAACTGCCACGTAGAGCTACATGAAGGAGCTGGAGGCAGGAAGAGACACCCTCTAACTGCTGACAGGGAGGGTTACTCGAGCTTCAGCACAAGCATTTGTAGATGAAAGAGCACGACTGACAGCTCGAGGAGTACACACCGGTTTTCAAATCACTCCTGTGATGTAGGGTAATGTTTGTGATCACGGCATTCACCGGCAATCAGATCATCCATTTAGCAGCAGGTTTGCCTGATCAGCTGTCTGGGGACTTCAAACACATCGGCAGAACTGCACAACTGGAGATGGTGCCTTGGCACTCAGCTGAGGAGCTGCACACAAGACCGAAAGATGAAGGGCAGGCTGGGTGTGCACCTGATTCCAGGCGAGCTGCACGCTGTCCTCGCTGCCTGCTAAGCCCAGACCTGTTAATCCACCTCTGCCTCACCTACAGTGCTCGAGTCTGCACCTGCTGCTGGCTCCATTTCAGTGCTTTTCAGGCCAGGTCATTATTTTTGGAGCAGACAGGGTTGGAGGGCCCAGCACCACAGCAGGGCATTGTGCTGTGCCAGACACACAGCACCAACACCTTTAGCAGGGGGCAGACACAAGCAGCTGCATCACCTGATTTGGATCAGCAACAGCATTCCCAAAACACGTGGAGCAACCTGGATAACACACACCAATAACAGCAGCATTTGTCCAAAGCAGGGCCCTTGTCTTTCTGCCACTTATCCCTAGGGAGCAAAGTATGTTAAATGTAACATTTTGTCTTCCCAAGCAGTACATGGAAATCTGTCAAAACAGTTGCTGACAGCTTTTCAGCTACTCACTGGGAATGGGGACAGCACAGGCCAGGAAAAAAACCTTTTTGATTTCATGCATCTTGAAAACACAGGCAAAAACATTTCAGGAATGAACTGCAACAAAGCTCCTTGTGCAAGAATCCCAATAAACATATTATCTGCTGAGTAATAAATGAAAATAAAAATGAAAATAAATTTAAAATTAAACCATGCAGTCATTTCAAAGAACTGCATCTGTCATTAAAATTAGGAACTAACGAGTCAGTGCTTGTCCAGAAAGAGAGAGCTATTTAACTGAATCCCAGAACGGTCTGAGTTGAAAGGAACCCTAAAGATCATCGCATTCCAGCCCCTGCCATGGGCAGGGACACCTTCCACCAGCCCAGGTTGCTCCAAGCCCCGTCCAACCTGGCCTTGGACACTTCCAGGGGCAGCCACAGCTTCTCTGGGCAACCTGTGCCAGGGCCTCCCCACCCTCACAGGGAAGAATTTCTTCCCAGTATCCCACCCAACCCTGCCCTCTGGCAGTGAGAAGCCATTCCCCCTTGTCCTGGCACTCCAGGCCCTTGGCTGTTCCCCAGGGCTGGAGGCAGCTCTGCAGGGGGAGTCTCCCCTGAGAGGGGCACTGGGTGTAATTCAACCTGTTGCATCCCTGACTGAAGCTGGGGGGGAAACCACTGACTAATAATGCAGCTTCCCAAAAGGCACGAGCCCCAGCAGTGCTGCCCCCAGAGCCTGTGGCTCCCGGGGTGCAGCCCCAGAGGGTGCCCGGGTACCCCGAAAGGCTCAGCCTGAACACAGCTCTGCTGCTTGCAGAGACACCAGACAGGAACCAGAGAGCCAAACGAGATTAGGGCTCAGCGAGATGGTGAATCCAAACAAACAAGACATTTTGAACTATTTCCAGCATGACTTCAGCACAAAATAACATTTGCACGTCAGTGTAATCGCTGATGTTTTAACTGCATGCGAAGGGAACAGTCACGCACAGCCCGAGCTCAGCAGCAGCTGCTCAGCCTTCAAAGGGAGCAAAAAGAGCTGCAAAAGAGCTGTGCTGTAGCTCAAAGCCTTTCAAATAAAGACTAAATTCATTTACATTCACTCCTCAAGCACTTGAACCCTAGCAGAGCACGGCCTGTCCTGTCCCCAGACATCCTGGGGAGGGGATGTGACACTTGAAACGAGTCGGGATGGCACCAACCATCAAGTCCCAGCTGAAGCCTCACGTCTACGAGGCTCAGGGAGTAAAAGAAATGAAGCCAAGGCCAAAAGGAGCACAAGCCAAGAGGATGCAAAGCAAGAGGGGAAACCCATTTTCCCTTTGAAGCCCTGTGAGGGCCGGTGAGCACACCCTGACGGGAAATCCTATTACTGGGGCCCCTAAGCCATGAATCAATCTCAGAGTCAGCCGGGGCAGCCTCGGGACAAAGGAACAATCATCTGCTAATTCAGGCAACAAAGCTGGAAAAGGAAGGTTCCTTCTTCTTCAGGTTAAGGATTAATCATCAGCAGGTACAGCCTATTTTCATTAAGTGCAGCCACTTCCTGCCAGCACATCCCTTGCCTTTTCCAAGAAGCAGGGGAGCAGCTCCGTGTCTGAAGGCAAATGAATTTAGGAGACAAGATTGAAATGATCAACAGCACAGAGCCAGCCAAGCTATTTAATAAGCAGCTGGGAAGTTTACCAAAATCCAAGACAATCGAGCCAAGCTGAACACGGGGAACACACAACCTTTGCTCCAAAATCCCATTTAGACCTTTAGGTTTTGGATGAGCGCCATGTCCAGTCCTTCCCTGAACACCTCCAGGACAGGGACTCCACCACCTCCCTGGGCAGCCCCTGCCAAGGCCTGACAACCTTTTCCAGGAAGAAATTCCTCCTGATTCTTCAGGTCCAACCTGAAGGTTACTAGAGGAGCCCAAGAGGAGCTGAGGAGGACACCCATGGTTTCTCAGAGTGTGAGGACAAAGCCAGCAGCAGGTTGGAAAAGGTGCTCCCAGCTGTTTGCAGAGGGGCAGTAAGGTAGTGCTTCCTCTGGGATACTGCAACCTGTTCAAGCTCAGGCCTGAAGCAAAGCAGAGGTACCACTCAAAAAGTCCATGTCACGATGAACTCGTGGCCTACAGGGGACACAGAAACACTCCTGAAGTCACATTCAGTTCTGCACATGACTCATAAATTCCCCCCAAAGGTGTTCAGACACGCACAAGACAACACCCAGAAACCAGTCACCACTTCTAACAATGATTATTTGACATTTCCCAGGGGGGAGGCTGGTTGGTGGTGGTGGGTACTGGGGGTTTTTTTTGGTGCTGATTTTTTTTTTGGTTCATTTTCTTTTCAAGCATCTGCTCTAGCCAACTGCTGCCCATTTAATTGGGAATTCTGACTGCTGAGTAGTCTGCACTGGAATTTACTTTTAACCATTCCAAGCCCTTTGCTGCATTCACACACACATTTCTATTTCTGCCCAACCAACTTAAGCACAAATATTTACCAAAGACGGCACAAACACCCAGGCCCTGTTCCCGTGGAGCTAAATTTGGGAGGCATAAGCACACCTGGCTGCAACAAGCTAAAACAAAAAATCCCTGAGACGCAGGAACTGAGTTCCAGGCACAAAAGCCACTGTTCTGCACTGCTCTGTCTGCTTTACACACCACTGTTACATTGTGATTCCA